AGTAAGAATGAAATAGTGAACGAAAAATAAAAGTTTGAAACTCTTGGAATAAAAAGAATAATTCTGAAGATAAAAAACTGTAGGAAAAGACGATAAGAATTCCAGGAATAAAGGATAAGGAATAATGCAAAGAAGGAGAAATATACCGAAAAATGGAGGAGAAGAAAGCAGAAGTAAAATGCGATGAAAGAAAACAGTTACTCCCGGCTTAAGATAAGAAAGAATCTGCAGTAAGACATTGAATGGTAGATGTTGTGAACTATAGAAGAATCTGTTGCCGATGTTGCAAGAACAACACGTCGACGGAAACGAACGGGGTTTACGAAACAGCAAATTCAATATATGAATGAACGATCAAATAAATATGCGGAGGAAGAAAGGACAAAAAGAAAGATAAGACGAACGAATAAAGAATGAAGAAACTAAATTAGTCGATGGGTATGCAAGTGACGTAACGGCGGCTGACCAATGAGGATGAAAAGGAAAATAAGGCAAAGAAATTAGGATTTAGCAGAGGAAAAACGAAAGAAAAACAAGAAAGAAAAAAAAAACAGGCTTTTATAAATGTCGATATTAATATATAGTAATTGCAATGTTTTTTTATCATATAAAGAAATTACATAAAAATATTTATGACTGTTGTTTTCTGTTTTTTTTTCTTTTTGAGGTCAAGAAAAAAGCGAAATACAGAAGCGATTATTATTATAGGTTATTATTATATCGAATTTTAATGATTCATTAGTATTAATAGTCACAGAAAAATTAAACAAATGGGAATAACTAATTGCTAATACTGTACCGACACGTTAAGCAATTGACTTCCGCAAAAGTTACACAAGTAATGTGTACTGACAGATGCAAATGAAAGAAAGAAAGAAAGAAAGAAAGAGAGAACGAAAGAAACTTAATAACTGGACGATAGAAAGTGAAAGGGACAAAGGATAAACCAAGTTGTTATGGGCATACACACACGCATGCAGGGTTACCAGACATTCGACACAGATACACAAATCCAGGCGCGAGTACACACATACACATGCACAAGCATCCACATACACAAGACTTCCTTGCGCAAGTTCACCACCTACGCATGTTTCTATTGAAATACACAGAACAATGTAGAAACAAGAAGTAATTGATTTGCCAGTTGAGAAAGACGAGTTTGTAAAATAAATGTTTGCAAATAATTCACAAAAGATCACCCCAGCGAATTGAAATATTATCTATTTACAGAAATACACCAACGCCAAATACATAATCAGTTACACGCTTAAGTATGCATATATATATATATATATATATATATATATATATATATATATATATGTGTGTGTGTGTGTGTGTGTGTGTGTGTGTGTGAAAAGTGTATATAAATATAAATAAATATATATATGTATAATTATTTATATATTATATGCGCGGTACTTATTAGAAAGCGCTCAATATCAGAGATAGAGCTGACATATTTGGTTGGATCAGAGATAGAGCTAACATATTTGGTTGGACATATATATATATATATATATATATATATATATATATTGATATATATATACAGGGAATATGGAAGTCCCCAGGAATGAGTGGGAACAGAAATAAAAAAAACGATATAAGCTAACGAAAAACGGGGAGTATGCGTAGGCATTGGCACAACACAAAAATGCGGCTTTGCTCAAGGTTGCACACATAGAAGCGTTTCCATCTTCATATGAAAATAACTGCATGCTTATTACAAATTCAAATCCAATTTACAACCTCGGTAGTGTTATCTACGCTATTATGTAGATAATATTTGATTAATAAACAAGATCTACTGCACTATGCGGTTAGTGCATCTTTTTCGGTAGAGTACCGGTTATTGTTGCCGAAAGCGAAGTCGTTTCTATTGCGTTCAATTTCACTCTATTCTCTCTGCAAGATATGGATTAAATATCAGGAAAGACTGGGCTTCCTCGTTTGGGTGGTTACCAATCAAGGCGAAAGATAATTCTACATTCAAGTTTGTAAAAATGGTGACTGGAAAGCACTTAACTTCTTTTTGAATAAGTTATGGCAGTTAATAAAAACTAGAAATATGTGATCATGTACGTCCTGAAAAGACATGACATTAAAAAATAATCAACAAACGTGTTTGCTTTGTATCCCAGATTGATTGATTTTTTTTAGCGTCATATCAACGTCTATGTGGGTTATTTAAGGCCGAAATCTAAATATATTGAACACAATTCAACTAAATATATTTTGATCGCAATGGTATGCCTTTACTACAGATAAAATATATCGCTGGTCATTTTGCTATAAAATGTATTGTTGGGAATTCTATCATTTTGTTCTAAAATGCATTGATGGTATTTGTTTAAGGATTCACTAATTGCCCATAGCAGGGACCCTAACAGGTGCTATCACCACCGGTCATGGTGGACCTGGGAACAACAACAATTTAAGAGGCGGTTTCACGCTCCAGAACCCACCCACCCCATCACCTGAGTTGAGGCTTTGCTGCCGGATGTAGTTTATCGTCATACCCAAGACTATTGCAAAAGAGAGATGTGCATGCAAAAATGAAAGTTGAAATACATAAAGATTTTTTTTTCATAAAATATTCAATTATGAGTTATGGGGCATCATTATATATATATATTGCTGATTGATTCTATGCGTGATTATTTCTTTGTATATAAATTATATGCTGACTAATGTTTTATGTTTATAAAACCTATCGATCCACAGTACAAAAAATTCCTATAAAAAACTGCTACAAGACATAACACTATATTAATTGAACCATATACTTAGTTCATGGCATATTAACTGAAAACACTTGGATTTACCACATCACAAGAAAAGTTCAAATAAAATTCTCACTTAAAATCTTGAAAAACTTAGCGTTGCGTCTTTGCATGTTCCAATATTGTACACAACCGTAAAATAATAGCACATTCTCAAAAAATACATCTTTCGGTCTACAAACAATTATTTCGTCTCCAAGTTTTTGATTTTATAAGGGAAAGATATGCCTGACGATGAATAAAGGATTATTCGAAAGTACTTGCATTTAAAAAAAATATAAACAGGAAACAACAGACAACAGACAACAGTTTTATAAATGAGGATCACAACATTCTATGGATTAACAGTATTTTAATGTATACATTATACACTACTAGCGATGGATTTCGCCAATAATAGCATTAATATTGCTGATTGATTTTATGTGATTATTTATTTATATATATATATATATATATATATATATATATATATATATATATATATATAGTAATTTAGGTTTGTATTTTCAGTGGACAGTATGTAAGCAAATGTAAATGGAAATAAAAATGAATTTAGGTTTGTATTTTCATTGGACATTTGCTTACATACTGTCCACTGAAAATACAAACCTAAATTCATTTTTATATTCATTTACATTTGCTTACATACTGTCCACTGAAAATACAAACCTAAATTCATTTTTATATCCATTTACATTTGCTTACATATATGATAAGTGTAAAACGATTTATTATTTATGCTCACAAGAATTCAAATTCAGCGCCCTAAACTTTTCCAACATTTTCTTTAAATATATTCTGCAGTTATGAGTAAGACATTTGCAATCTTTCTAAAGTCATTGATATCCATTGAGCGTTAGGCTTGTAATACAGAGGAAAACGTCCTCGAAGCTTGTAGCAATAGTAACATCAACGACTGTCTTCTCTTCTCTGCTTTTGAACATGGACTTGTGCTGTCTGCTAACGTCAAACATATTTGATGGTTGAGGATCAAGAGGCAGCAATTCGTCTTTTTTGTACCGTGCCCCTGCAGGACTTTGGTGATCATGGCTCTACATAATCTTCTGTTCTTTGTAACTCTTATCAAATTGTGTCTTTTTGCTATCTATCTTAAACCTCGTCTTGCTAAATATTTACACAAGCCCGCTTGGTAGGTTATGCGTTATTTTCTCACCTTGTCCGGCGAGACTCAAATTATACAAGCTTTTTCATTCTTATGTGCGTTGGAAGTTTTACTTGTTTCTTTTTTATGATCAATATAAGCGTCCTTTTTGCATCCATATTCTTAAAAATTTCGCTACTCACATGTTCGGTTTATGGTATCCTCAGCATCTCTCTGTAGAACCTTATTTTTGTTGCTTCAAGTCTCTTCTTCATCTGTGAATATCGTCCATCATTCACTGCCATATTGTAACTGTTCACTACTATTTTCTTCGTTCCTAACGATATTTTCTTGTTTTTAATACTTAATGTTATTTTCCTGTTACTTAATACTTTGCTTAGCTTTTGGAAAGCATCTTTTACTATCCTAATGCGCGTTCGGATTTCGAAGTCGCACTTTTCGTTCTCTCTTAATAAGCTTCTCAGATATTTAAATTTTACGCTTACTTAATTTCGATAATTCCAATTTGCAATTTCTTAGAATATAAATATAGTATTTGAAAGGATACCTAAAACGAAAAACGATAGAGATATCTGAAAAGATAACCTTATTTTTATCATCCAAGCGCAAATAGAAATAAAACTATACGAAGAAATTTACACAGAAATATCATGACGATTACTGTATAATGTCTTAAAAAATACAATGCGATATTTTCATACGTAAAAAGTATTGTTTATTCATTTTTGAACTCTGTTAAATTGATGTCGACCGTGAGAGAATGTAGCTTTTCTTTACGTTTAATGTGCATATATTTATTTTTAATAATTTCAATCCCAAGGAAGGCAATAAAGCCACTGAGACACAAGGGGTTACTGAATGTGAATGAATTAGAAAAAGAAAACCTATTTAAGAACAATAAAGAAAGAGGAATAAAAAAATCAATAGATAACGATTGACATTGCATTTAAAATTTGAAGATTACAGTTGGCTGGAAAGCAAGAGTGTTCCACAGTCAAGAAGTGCAACAGAAGAAAATGTTAGCAAAGAACTTACGGTCACATCAAGCCAATTCAACTCTAAAATGATGAGATATTCATAGAATCTAGTACCATAGAGAATGTTCATCAGAACAATTACTATGTGAATATCTACAGAAAAGACACAGGAAAACCACATTACGGCGGTTGGAAAATGACTGAAGCTGGGATGATAGTTCAGGACTAATAACATTGCAAATTCTTCTTTGGATTTTATCAAGTATCTATAAATATATATCAGGGAAACGAATGTCAACAATAGTCAAAGCATGGACGAATGGTAAACATATAAATATATAAACTAGATTCTGGGAAGAATAATTGTTTAGCATGAGACAGTGAACTAATATTCATAGCAGCAGACTAAGTAATTGATTCTCTCCATTTCATGTCAGCAGAGAACGTTAGCCAGAGAAGGCGGAACCAGTCACTCCCGTGAAGGTTAGCATCAGCCATGCTAATGGGATCTATCAGATGATTAGCAGAAAGCAGGGTTATTTTTTTTTTTTTGAGACGTCAAAATTAAAAAGCCATTCTTTAACCCAGGCAGAAGAAGATTTCAGGTCACTTTAAAAATGATCTGCTATCAATTTGAGTAAATAGGATTAAATAGTTGCGTCCCCAGCATAGATACCGAACTGAGTTATCGGGAAGGTCATTGATGAAAATTAGTAATAACGTTGGTCTACGGACAGAACCTTGGCGTATGTCTTCATTAATGCAAAAAGGATCTAGATGAGGACAACTTTAATTTCGCGTCTTGATAAGAAAAACTATCATTTAAGAAATCGCCCAGAAATACCAATACTAAGTTCAGAGGGTTGTCTTCCTGTTCAATGTCGGCACAGTCAACAAAATCATTTGAGGCTCGGTTTTGCGTACAGCGACTATAATGATACCTTCTTGGTTAACACTCTAGGGCACCTACAACTTTCTTTATCCTGATGTGGAACCAAGTATAAAGCTTACATTCGTATCAGTGGGGGCGAATCCAGTATATATTTGGGTCACCACAGATCAACTCTTTTTAGATCAAATGTTCTTGGGTGACATTAAATTCGATTCAGACTGCTGATGTCTTCAAGTTTAAAGCAGTTGCTGCACACACATGCACATACTCAAGTGTGATACGTGATACACGCTTGGTCGATAATGTTTCTTTCGATTCATGACTGACTAGACAGAAGATTTTTTTTTTCCGCAGAAGCTTTACGTATCTTTCTGCGGTAGAATGGTTTCCAACAAATGCTAGACGACCAAGTCTGTCCTACTGTTTAATCCATAGACAGAGGAGAAGAGTTGGATTCATAGCTTTCGAAATCGTATTTTCGCGTAAGTCAACGTAACGAAACCGACTGGAATTCGAAGACTCTCCGATTTCTCGTTCCCAAACGATATTCTTTGCATCATAACGTGTATACCAATCTTATATTTTTCTGCATTTTTACTTTTTTAAATGATGATTGGAGTATAGTGTCTCCTTATTGCAAAATGCTGTTGATAGATGATTAATTTGTTTTCAAAAACCTATTAATAGTAATAATTTCGCGGCTTTTGCACTGTATACAAAATTTTATTTTGGCTTTCAACACGTTTTGAAAGCCGTAATAAAATTTTGTATCTAGAACAGTTCATATCAGTATTTACGAACCAAGTACGCATAGGATCTAATTAAAAAAAAAAATTAAATAGTCACGGATTTCGTATGCTATGAACATCTTCACTGATAACTTAGCTTATTTCCAGCTTTTAATAATATTTGAAAGGCTTCTGAACAGCAATAACTCACTCTCTCTTCTTCCCTCTCTCTCTCTCTTCCTTCCTCTCTCCTTCCCTTTATAACTACCTCCACTCTATGCCCCCTCTCTCTGCCACCTTCCCTCTCTCTCCTCCTCTCTCGCTCTAAAAGTGATTTATAAGTATTACGTTTTCTTATCATTATATATGCAGATCTTTTATGTGCCGTGTCCCTTCAAGACATAGGCGACCACAGTCCTCCACATCTTCCTGTCCCTTGTAGCTCTTAATAAGTTTTGTCTTTTTTATTTCTCCCAAACCCTGTTCTACCACCCATTTACTCATGCTCATCACGTATGTTTTGCACTGCTTTCCTCTGTCCCTCTTTCCTTCAATCCTGTGAGTATCAGATTTTCCAAGCCCTCCTTCCTCATTACGTGCCCCAGAAATTTCAACTGCTTCTTTCTGAAAGCCAAATTATTCTTAATCTGTCTATATCTCTGAGATGAGGTATTATGATTATTTACATTATTTACATTATATTGGACTATTATCCTCATCTTCATTGCCATATTCACAACGTTTCAATTTCAAGTGAGTTCATTAACAGGCTCTTAGCAGTGGTGAACCATAAAACATGTAGGGTCGAGTTAAAGGGAAATAACTGAGGTATCCGGAAGAGGCATGGCACGTGGAACTAGAACATTCTACCCCGGTGGACGAAATAAAGGGTTCAGTTCAAAATTCCAATCACCTGAAGAAGGTCGGAGCGCACGACGGCCGATGCCGAAACGTTGTGAATATGGCAATGAAGATGAGGATAATAGTCCAAATAATATAAATAATATAAATATTCTTAATCTATTCAGTTCTTTTCTTTTATCTTAATCTCGTAGCATTCTAGAAGATTAAAATTTCAATCTTCTATCTGGACGTAGTCGATCATGGTTCTCCACAATGTCTCTGCCATTTGTAGCTTTACATACCTGTTCTAAACCTTATCTCAACATCCATTTACTCAAGCTCGCTAGGTAGGTTTTGCGTTGTTTATCTCTGTCCCTCTTGTCGTCAATCTGTCTTGTGAGTATCAGATTTTCCAAGCCCTCTTTTCTTATTATGTGGCCTAGAAATTTTGACTGTTTCTTCCTGGTGTTAAGCGTAAGTGTCCTTTTTGTTTGCATATTCTCTAAAACGTGCTCGTTGCTCACATGGTTCGGTTCAAGATCAGGATACGTTTTTCAATACCTCCAATATATTTTGATTAATGTTAGTACTACTACTTGATGAGGAACTAGTGTATTATCGTCAGTATTCCCTTTGCCTACCAATGCGTGTAATAGTGTAAACACCCGTGATTATTTTGGGATGTTAGTAACGTCTGACACTAATCTTTTTGTATTAAAAATAATGTTTATTGTTTTCTGGATTCTGTCAAAGTAACGTCAACCGTATCGAAGGTATGTGGTTTCGGATCGTTTTTTCGAACATTCGATCTTCAATTGAGGTTGCAAGATATTTTTTGATCTCCTCTTTGGTCAAACGTTACTATAACTAGCTCTCATCCGTTTGTGCAGTGACTGTATATGTTAAGTTTATCTAGGTTCACTTCCGGTTTTAAGTTTGTGAATTCAGCATCTTCTTTCGATGCCTTCATCAGCATTTGGTGGGCTTGTGTATACCTTCTACATCAATACTCGTATTTTCTAGTTTATTTACATTCTCAGTTGACACCGAATACGCATCCTACTTTAGTATCTCTTTCATTGAACCCAGTACGTATCGGGTCACCACTTATCACCTCTTCTTAGATGCAAGTTCCTGATGAACAGTCGATTCAGACCCTCTAGTATTTGCGTATGTGAATCGCGATGAATCTAATATTGCAGCTGACGCTTAAACGATTATCTGAAAGAGTAGTTAAATCAATGGTAGTTCCCACTTAGGAACGGCTGACGAGATATATTTCTAAAAACATCTATGTTTTATTCTCCGTCTTCTAATTCGGAGTTAGTGACGAACTTAGAGTAATCAAGTATTGTCTTGAAGTGACTGACGTGACAAGAATTGTCTTAAAGTGACTTAGTGCAATCAGCTA